CTGCAGCGGCGCATGAGCGACGGGGCTGGCGTGTTGTGGGTGCGCCTGCCGTGCGCACGGCAGAGGGCGGCTACTCCGCGGGTGTGGCGCTGATCACACCGCGCTGCCTGAGCCTCAGCCTGGCGCCAGGCCAGGCATCGTGGGACATCTCCCCCGCGGGCGCCGCAGGCAGGCTGTGCTTGGGCATGGCCGAGGTCAAGGGCATTGGTTGGGTGGCCCTTTTCTCGGTGTACTTGTTCACAGGCAAGCCCGTCACCTGGGCCCTGAACGCGGCCCTGCTGGACACCATCGTGCATTGGGTCTGCCAGATGAGGATCCCCTGGATGGCCATGGGTGACTTCAACAATGAGCCGCACGCCATCCTCGACAGCCCCTGGAATCAGGAGGCCAAGGGCCAGGTTCTGGCCTGGCAAGGGGAAGGAGGCACATGCAGGTCCAAGGTGGTAAAGCAGGGCGTGGAGGAGTTTAAGGATCGGGTCATCGACTTTTTCTGGGTGGATGCGAGGCTGGCAGATTTTTTTTGCCCAGTGAAGTCTTTCGAGAACATGCCCTACAGGCCGCGCAGGCCGACTTGGATCCGCGCCGACAAGCCCTGGCACGCGTACCAGATCCAGGTTCTCAAGGGCCCCAAGCAGTGCCCCATCACCAGGCCGCCACCTGTCAGGCAGCCCGAGATCCCGCAGGGCTACCCCAAGCTCGACCTGCTCCACGGCTCCCAGCAGCACCTGGACCAGTGCTGGAGGGGGTTCTGCTCTGCAGCTGAGGCCGAGCTTCGATCTCTGTTCGGCTGGACGGAGTTGGAGGCGCGCAGGTATGAAGGCCGAGGCTTGACTCCCGAGGTGGGGCAGAGACAGCTTCTTCCGAAGCAGGACAGTCCCGTGGCTGATCGAGGTCCTGCCAGGGCCTGGCGTTGGGCCGCGGGGGAACTGGCCTGGATAGGCCAACTCGTCTGCTGCGTCTTGCGGGGCCAGTCGGTGCCCAAGGCCAAGTCGGAGGCCCCAGTTGGCCAGGCTACCACCTCGGGAGAAGGGCCTCCTCGATCCTACAACGAGGAGGTCACAGGCCAGCTCAGACGGGCCTGGAGGAAGCTGCTCCAGGCGAGGCACCACTGGGACCAGCTGGAGCCCTGGAGCGCAGGGTTCCTACCAGCGCTGCGCACCCTCGCCGACGTGGAGCCCCACTTCATCGGCGCGCAGGCCATCTTCGCGCTGCAGCAGTTCGCCAAGGTGCGGGCACAGTCCTGGGAACAACACCTCATGCGGCAGCGCTCCAAGCGGTTCTACGAGCGCCTGAGCGCGAAGTTCCCAGGCTCAGGGGGCTACTTGCACCGCATCTGTCACTGGAAGCAGGCGTGGAAGGAGCCCATCTCGTCGGCCAAGAAGCTGAAGCTGCCAGCGGACCCGCAGCTCGCGGTCAATCAGGAGGCGCAGGAGTGGGCTAGCATTTGGCGCGCTGGGTCAGGTGACTACACCAAGTTGTGTCAGGACGCTCAGGTCCAGGCCCAACGGATGGCCCACGCGCAGGAGCTGCCCATCATCGACGCGATGCAGGTGCGCACAATATGCCGCAGTTACAAGTGGAAGGCGGGGCTCGGGCTTGACGGCTGGCACTTCGGGCACCTGGCCTGGCTCAGTGACGAGGCTTTGACCAGCCCCGGGGACATCCTCATGCTGTGCGAGCGGCTCTGCTCGTGGCCCACGGCCATACGCATGCTCATGCTCTTCCTGGTCGCCAAGGAAGACGGCGGCGGCAGGCCCATCACTCTTTTTCCCACGCCAGTGCGCATCTGGGAGGCTGTTCGTGATCCCTTGATGCGGCGGTGGGAGCGGGCTCACGTGAGGCCCTACGACTGGGCATCACCAGGGCGCAGCAGTGAGCATGCTGTTTGGAGAGCGATGCTGAACGACGAGGCCCTGGAAGGTACCTGTTTCGCGGCCCTCACCGCCTTGATGGATTTGGAGAAGGCGTATGAATAGGTGGCGCTCAATTTGATTTGGATTCTCGGCATGGTGCAGCAGGCACCCATGAGTGTCTTGGCCCTTTCTCTGGAGTCGTACGCTTTCCCTCGGGCGGTCCGAAAGGGCCAGGCCGTCGCCGACGCCATTTGTACCTACGTGGGGCTGCCAGCTGGGTCGAAGTATGCCAATCGCTTCCTGAAGATTGTGATGTATCCGATCCTGGACGTCGTGGCCCGATGGCCAGGTGCCAGGCTGGAGATCACGAAGTTTGTGGACGACTTAGCCCTGCGGATGGTGGGCAGGAGCGCACAGCTGAAGGTGATCTTCCCCGACCTGGCCCGCACCCTCATCCGCCTCTTGGAGTCGCTGCTGCAGCTCAAGGTCTCGAAGGGCGAGGGAGGCAAGTCAACGTTTGTCTCCAGCGACGGCTCTTTGGCACAGGAGCTGGCGCAGCCCATGGCGGACATCGGCCTGCAGCACGGCGAGAGCGAGCGCTGGTTGGGCGTAGACTACCAACCCCAGGGCCCTCGGAAGAAGGCCACCAGAGCCAGACGGGTCAAGACTGCTCGAGGCCGCTGGCACAAGGCGGCGGCCCTCAAGCGACGAGGGGTGAGGGTACGCCCTGTGGTGCAGCAAGGCCTCAAAGCGTCAGTTGCGTATGGGGCGACCTGCGCTGGAACCCCTCCTGCCGTCCTCAAGTTCGTCATGGCCAAGACAGCTGCTGTGCGTGCGGGGGCTGGGGCCTTTCGTTCGGGCACGTTGGGCTGGGCGATCGCGCCGAGGACGGACGGCGCCGAGCAGCTCAGGATCGCCCCTCTTCGGGCATGGCTACGCGAGGCCTGGGACCAGCCCGAGAGACGGAAGGAGATGGCCCACGCGTGGGGCCGTCAGTGGCCCGAGGTGCAGCGTGCCCTCACCTATGGCCCCGCCAAGTTCGACGCCTGGAAGACGGTGCGAGGGCCAGCGGCTGCCACCATTCTGACGGTGCACGAGCTGGGCTGGCACATGGAGGACGCCTGGACCATCTTCGACGGCGTCCACGGCAAGTGGGACATCCGCGAGGTCGCTCCCCTCGAGATCCTGCGGTCGGCAGAGAAGGCGGTCGCAAAGAAGAAGCTCATGGACTGGGCGATCGCTGATCAGGAGCGCCAGCCACTCCGACCCACTCCCTTCCTGCTGCCAGTCAAGCAGCTCATGCGCTCCAAGCCCACGGAGACCTGGACGAGACACCACATCAACAGTGCCAGGACGGTCGCGCTAGGAGGTTACCCTGTACAGACGGTGTGCTACGAGCGCGGCCAGGTCACGAGTCCTCTGTGCCCCTTGTGCGGCAAGAAGAAGGGCACTTTGTTGCATGTGTATTTTCTTTGTGATGCAGATGTGTGCGTCACGATTCGTGATGGGCTCACGGAGCCGACTCTCAAGCACAGTTTTCGGGACGTAGTGCATTTGGGCGAGACGGCCGCCACGAAGGAGGAGCAGGGCTGCAGAGGCGGAGACACGCTCTTCTGGAAATGGGCTCGCGGCTTGATCGCGGACCCCGTGGCCGACTACCAGGTGCCCACGCCGCCCGACGAGTACCAGTGGGGCGACCCTGACGGTGAGATGGTCCTGTCGGGCTGGGTGGCCACGGACGGATGCGTCCTGTCCCCCGACGTGGAGGAGGTTTCCACGGGAGGCTTCGCCGCCATCACCTGGAGCGCTGAAAAGAAAAGTGAGACTCAGTCATTGTTCGGTGCTGTGCCAGTTGCGAGGCCACGTCGGCCCACTGTGAGATCTGGGCTGTGTGCCAGGCTGTAAAGCACTCGGTAGGGCTCGTAGGGCTCCTGATAGATAGCAAGCAGGTCGTTCAGGGGCTCTTGGCGGGCAAAGAATTTTGTGTGAATAGCGAGCAGATGACCGCGCACCTTTGGCAGCTTGTTTGGGATGCCCTGGAGGATCATTGCCTCATCCCAGGAGAGTCCCTTCAAGTAGTCAAGATAAAGTCTCACATGACCAAGGCCCAAAGGGCCTGTCTTTCTGGTGAGAGTCTTGTGCACTTTGATATGAATAGGTGTGCGGACGCTCGTGCAAGACAGGGAGCTGACCCCTATGCCGCCCCAAAGTGGAAGGTGGAACAGGTCCAGCAGTGTCTTAAATTTCAGAAGAGGCTGCTACAGTATGCAGCACCTTTCCGTGTGGATCTTAGTGAAGCCAAAGCTACCACCACGAGCCTGCCGTCCCCTGCTGGTCGGACTCGGAGGAGCGAACGTATTGCCCGCCCTTTGGCAGTCGCGCCTGAGCGGGCCCACCGTTTTAGGCTCCTAGAGGGTGGTAAGTGGCAGTGTCTGGAGTGCTCTCGCCTCGTCCGTGTGGCCGCTCGTCTCAGCATGGCCAAGCGGGAGTTGTGCCCTGGATGGGGGGGAGCCATTTCAAAAGGCAGGGCCCGTTTGAAAGTCAAGGCCCTGGTCCACGGCGAGTGTGTGACGGACCAGATCCGTGCCGCTGCGGCTGAGAGGGCTGCGGAGGCGAGGGGGTCTGGGTCCCAGGTTTCACCCCTGCCCCCACCTCGGGAACACGAAGTGGTTGAGAAGGTGGGGTATGCTGTGTGCCGAATTTGTGGGGCTTTCGCCCGTTCCCGAGCCCAGAAGTTGTTGCGGGAATGCGAGGGCCCTTTGGCGAAGGGTATTGCCGCCCATCGGTGGCGGAAGCTCTATCGTGATCGAATCCTGGACGGTAAGAATCCGTACACGGGAAAGCCCGTGCGAGAGCAGGATTGACCTGTTTGGCCAAGGTGATGTGTGGTCCTGAGGCCCATCCCCAAGAGCCCCCCAGTCAAAAAAGAAGAGGGAGGAAGAGGAGAAGGGATGGAGGAATGAGTAGTGGGGAGGGAGGCAGGGAGGAGGAGGAGGGAGGAAGAGAAGGGAGGGAGCAATGAGGAGGAGGAGGAGGAGAAGGAGGGAGGAGGGAGGGAGGGAGGGAGGAGGAGGGAGGGAGGGAGTGAGGAGGAGGAGGAGGAGAGGGAGGAGGAGAAGGAGGAGGGAGGGAGCGGAACCCCTGCAGGCCAGGGCCCCGCAGGGCCCTGTCGCCGAGGGCCCTCTGGCCACGCCGGAGCAGAAGCAGAGGAGGCCGCGGCCCGAGGCTGGGGGCGTGTCGCCGGCGACGCTGAGCTGGGTGGAGGCTCCCCCTCCTCCTCCTCCGCCCCCTCCTCTCCTCCTCCTCCCTCCTCCTCCTCCGCCGCCTCCTCCTCCTCCGCTCTCCCTCTCCCGCTCCTCCGCCTCCTCAGCCTCCTCCTCCTCCTCCTTCTCCTCCTCCTCCTCCTCCTCTTACCTCTCCACCCTTCTCCTCGTCCTCCTCCTCCTCCTCTTCCTCCTCCTTCTCCTTCTTCCTCCTTCTCCAGGCGCCCAGGTTAGAACCCGGTTCACCGCACGCGCCTTACATCCATATCCATGGCACATTCTCTCTTCGGCCTAGGCTGGGCAATGGCGCCGGCCCTCTCTCTCGTCACGCACAGTGTCTGTTCCTTGGTCAACCCTCTCCGCCAGCAGGGAATCGGGGATGAGTACCAGCTGAAAGACATCCAGTTTCTCATGGGCACGCGCATTCGGAACCGTGTGACTGACACTATCTGTGCCACTCGATTTGACGAATTTGCACATGTGCTGAATTGGGGGTGGGCGCCTGGGCCGTACACAAGCTCGCACGCAGGGGTCTAGCTACAATTCCGTCGTCGACTATTCCGACCGAAGCCCTTCACTCAAGTGTATAGTCCCCCCGCGAGTGTCCAGGGCCGTGCAGGAGTTGCTGTTCTGATGTCAGGGGAATTCCACCTGCTATGCGTTGTTCTCTACTTCCCGCCGCGCCCCGGAGTGGCGCGCAAGGGGCTGGCCTACATGCGCACAATCGATGTGCTTGTGGATTGGATTACTACCACTTGCGCCTCTCAACCTGTTCGTTGCTCCATTGTGATTGGAGGGAATCTGAATGATGGGGCTGGAAGGGATGAGAGTTCGGTATTGGTCGATACTGCACCCCCCACTGGCCCGCTCCGACCGCATCCCAAACACCACGCGATGACGAAGATGAGGGGCGTCCTGGACCAGTTCGGCATCTGCGTGTTCAGCTCTTTTCAGGGAGGCCAGGATTCTTGTTGCGGCCACCGCGCGTCCAGCCGTATCGACTACGTTATGGGCGCCCGGTCGCGGCTATCACCGCTCATCCACGCCAAGGTGTTGGACAATTCGGGGCGCCGGCTCCAGGTGGTGCCGACCAAACGCCGATGGGACCACTATCCCGTCCAAGCCTTCACGCCACGTGGTAGATGGGAGCCTCCCCGATAATTGCTCCGCCCCTTGTCCTCACGAGCCTGGCAATGCAGATTCTTTGACGGGAGGGGCGATCTGCCCCACTGACAGGAAACTTAAAGAACTCAGCGTGAACTGGGGCAGGGGTAAAAAGAAACTATCCCGTCCAAGCCTTGGTCATATACATTCTCAAGTTCCGGCTACCCGCGCCGAGTGATGGGATTTGGATCGGTTGGTGGCTGGGGCTGTCCAGGGAACACATAAGTTCGGATTCCTTGCAGATGTTGAACGAGGTTGTCGTGCAGCCCGCGATGCGTGACATATTTGGGAGGCTGGTGCTACCCCTGATGCCGCCCGGGCTTCTCTCGTGCATGATGTTCGCACAGCAGGACCACAATTTTCCAGCCAAGCAAACTCTATCAGCAGCGGACGCGATGTGTTTCGCCAGGAACACTGGCGGCGTTTGGGGGGAGCGTGTTCATTTACGAGAACGGCGAGGCGATCTTGGGACTGGTGAGCATCACGAGTTGGGACGGCTATGTCAACTGATTTTCAGTCTTACGAAGCAAATTTGGCAGAAGAGGCAACACGTCGATGATGCTCGAGTCGAATCACATGTGGAGCAAATTCGAGAGGCCTGGCATCGACGCCATCTATCTCGAGTCAGTCAACTTTCGTGTCGACTCGCTCTCACCTGTGTCGGGCCCGTCGCGGGTTCTACACCTTTCCTATGGTAAGCCAGCCTGCTCGCGATGTTTGGGCCTCGCATTTGCATCAATGTGGGTGCCAGGGCGGCCAATCCGCCAAAGTCGTGGAAAATTGCGGACCCTGTGGGGACCTTTCGCCCAGGTGTTCTTCTTCAAACATACATGAACAGTTGCCGTGCTGCGGGTGTCGAGGACGTGGAGGGGGTCACAAAGTCTTTCTTCGGCACGGACCTTCGGAAGAGCACGCCTCCTTGGAGCTGTCCGGTTCAGCTCCTTCGCCTGCTTCTTCTCCCAATTTATGTATATCGGCCGCAGCAGGAAGTTGTAGGAGCTACCACCGAGCCCTCAGGTGCGCCGGCGTTTCGAAGACGTTTCCTCGGAGTGTTATGGATGATGCGAGGATTTGGTGCCATGCCATTGTCCTGGAGTCGATCATGGGGGTGCTGGCTTCCAAAGAGTACGGCAAATGTGAGCCTGAAGGTCATCAGAGTGGTCCATCGGATGTGCAGTATGAGCAACATTTTTTCGCGTTGGCTCCAACGACGTGGACGCGAAACCCATCCAGATGAGCGTTTCCCTTGTGAGCTTCATGGGGGTCTGCCTAACAGACGGCGCGAGAGTGCAATCCAGGTCCATCTCATCGCAGGTTGGAGGCTCAATGCTGGGAACAAGACGCACGCCACGATCTTCTACGATCAGACTAACGCATTCTGCAGTGCCCCCCTGCAGGTTCCGGACCACACCGACCAGCTCACGATGCAGAAGGCCGACGTGTTTGCGGGTATCCAGGCAGACAGAACGTCGTCACCCGAGATGCTTCTGATGGGGTCCAACACCATCTTGTGGGCGAGGGAGTGCTCCAAGGCCACCAAAGCGCTCCCACGAAGTACATCAAGACATTCTGGCGCACGGTGTTGTCCCCATGGGTTCAGGTTCTTCGGAGGCTCCCTGGCGGCGATGCGCTCTGCTGCATATGTCTATGCACTGGCGCTCGCGCGAACCTCGCCAACACAGTCTTCATGGACGACGTGGCCACGAAGATTGTAGCACCAAGTATTGGTCGTCTTGCTGCTGTCGCCACTCAGGCGAGCTCGACCTTGACGACCAACTCCAAGCTGTGGGGGGAGACCAAAACACTGGCAAACAACAGGTCGTCGTCAAGGTATCTGGCACGGGCGCTCATGCACAGACTCGGGATCTTCATTCTGGACGTGTTCACTGTCCTGGGCATGTGGGACTTGATGCAACCTATCTGGGGGTGCTCTACAATGCGGCATGTACTACTACGGAGCAGCGCCTCGAAATCCAACTCAACATGAGACGAGCCTGGCATGCACTCGGCCGCTTTTGGTTCACCCGGAAGTTCCCCAGACGCGTGCTCATATTTTTTCAAAGCTCGCGCGCAGGCTGCTGGGTTGTCTGGGCTTGAGCCTTTCTTATTGCAGGTGCGGATCTCCAACTGATTGATACTCTACTTTTTGACGCGGGGCCGACAGATACTTCAGGGCGACGCCGCAAAAACATATTATTCAGCCAAACGGGGACGTCAAGTATGTCGCATTGGAGACGGCAGCTGCTTGGAAGAAGTTGCGCATGGCCCCCACTGGAATCGAAATGCGGATCCGTCGTCTGAAGTCGCTGCAGGAGGTTGCCCGCCATCCGAAGGAATTCACGCAGCTTGCGGGAACTCTGTTTTGGCGGCTGAACTGGGAGACCCGCCCACAGTTCGCGCAGTGGAAGCTCTGTCGGAAGGAGGGCGTGTTCGCATGTAACCCTTGGGCATTGCGAGTCGAGCAGGACCTACTGTCTCCGAGTGCATTCGAGGACGGCGCCCAATTCTTGGAAGCTCTTGGGGATGCCCCGCTGCGAGCTTCGCACCCTGACTTTCAAGATGAATTTGGTCGACTGGATATGTCGGCGAGCAATTGAGCAATGCCAGAGTGTTCCACGTAACGGTGTCGGACCGCGATGTGGTTCGATACCTGGGCGACTGGTCCCCAAGAGGCCGCGGTTCAGGCAAAGGCAAGGGACGAGGCCGTCCTCGTTGGAGCTAGATGTTGAACGTCCTCGTCGGAACCGGGCTTTGTTGCGCGTTCCCCTTCCCCCTCCCCCCCCGTGGGTGGGGGCCAAGACGGGGGAGGGGAAATTGATATACGAAACTGGCGTTTTGTACAGAATTCCCCCCCTCTGTTTTTTGGGCCCGCTCCCTGGGGTCCCCGTTTCTGTCTTCCTCCCTCTCTCTCGTTCTTTGTCTCTCTTTCTCTTGGCCGATTGTGTTGCGTTCGCGAACCAGCGCATGAACCCCCATAGTGTCCCTATTTGGGGCCTTGTGCGTGCTTAGGCCCAGATACTTTTACATGTGCTTATATACATTCGCACGCCCTGCGATTTCAAAGCTCTGATTGCGTTACCTGACGGACCAGATGGCGTTCACCACCACCACACCCTCTCCTTCTCCCCCTTGCCTCCTCCTCCTCTTCTTCCTCGTCCTCCTCCTCCTTCTCCTCCTTCTCCGCCTCCTCGTCCTTCTCTTCCTCGTCCTCCGCCTCCTCCCCCTCCTCCTCTTGCCTCTCCCCCCTCCTCCTCGTCCTCCTCCTGCTCCTCCTCCCCCTCCTCCATCTCCTCTGCTCGCCTCTCCCTCCCTCCTCCTTCCTCCTCCTCCTCCTCCTCCTCCTCATCCTCCGGCTCTTTTCCTCCTCCTCCTCCTCCTCCTCCTCCTCCTCCTCCTCCTCGTCTTATCTCTTTCTTCTTTTGCTCCCCCTTCTCCTCAACCGCCTCCGCCTCCTCCCCTTCCCTCCTCCTCCTCCTCCTCCTCCTCCTTCTCCTCCTCCTCCTCTCTCCTCCTCCTCCTCCTCCTCCTCCTTCTCCGCCTCCTCCTCCTCATCATCATCCTCATCCTGCCTCCTTCTCCCTACTCCTCCTCCTCCTCCTGCTCTTCCTCCTCCGCCTCCTCCTCCTGCCCCTCCTCTCCCTCCTTCTCCGCTCCTCTCTCCTCCGCCTCCTCCTCCTTTTCCTCCTCGTTTCTCGTCCTCATCCTTCTTCCTTTTGCTCCTCCTCCTCCTCATCCTGCCTCCTCCTCCTCCTTCTCTTTCTTCTCCTCCTCCTCCTCCTCCTCCTCCTCCTCCCCCCTCCTCCTCCTCCTCCCCCTCCCCCTCCGCCTCCTCTTCCTCCTCCTCTTCCTCCTCCTCTTCCTCCTCCTCCTCCTCTTTCTCCGCCTCCTTCTCTCCTCCTCGTCCTCCTCCTCCTATTCTTCCTCCTCCCCGTCTTCCTCCTCCTCCTCCCCCTCCTCCTCTTCCCGCTCGTCCTTCTCCTCCTCTTCCTCCTCCTATCCTCCTCCTCCTCCTCCTTCTCCTCCACCTCCTGCTCCTCTTTCCTCCTCCTCCTCCTCCTCGTCCTTCTCCTCCGCCTCCTCCTCCTCCTCCTCATCTTCCTCTTCTTTTCCTCCCCCTCCTCTCCTCCTGCTCCTCCTCCTCCTCTTTCCTCCTCCCCCTTCTCCTCTCGGCTCCTCCTTCTTCTCCTCCTCCTCCTCCTCTCCTCCCCCTCCTCCTCCTTCTCCTCCTCCCCTCCTCCCCCTCCTCCTCCTCTTCCTCCGCCTCCTCCTCCTTCCCTCCTCCTCCTGCCCATCTTCCTCCTCTTCCTCCTTGTCTTCCTCCTTCTCCTCCTCCTCCTCGTCCTCCTCCTCGTCCTCCTCCTCCTCCTCCTCCTCCCCATCCGTATCCTCCTCCTGCTCCTGCTCCTGCTCCTCATTATTCTTCTTCTCCTCCTTCTCATCATCATCATCATCATCATCACCACCATCATCATCATCATCATCATCATCATCATCATCATCATCATCAGCAGCAGCAGCATTATTGTCATCATGATCAACCTCATCATCATCAACATCATCACCATCAGCACCATCATCATCATCATCAGCATCATCATCAACATCATCATCGTTATCATCGTCATCATCATCATCATCATCATCATCATCATCATCATCATCATCATCATCATCATCATCATCAGCATCATCATCATCATCATCAGCATCAGCATCAGCATCATCCTCATCCTCATCCTCATTCTCATCCTCTATATCATCCTCCTCCTCCTCCGTCTCCTCCTGATCCTCATCCTCATCCTCCCTCCTCCCTCCTTCCCCTCCTCCTCCTTCTCCTGCTCCTCCGCCTCCTCCTCCTCCTCCTCCTCCTCCTCCTCCTCCTCCTCCTCCTCCTCCTCCCCCCCTCCTGTTCTAGCATCGTTTCCCTCCTCCTCCTGTTTCTCCTCTGCCTCCTCCGACTCCTCCTCCTCCTCCTCCTCTCGCCTCTTCCCCTATCCTCCTCCTCTTCCTCCTCCTCCTCTTCTCGCCTCTCCCTCTCTCTTTCTCCTCCTCCTCCTCCTCCTCCTCCTCCTACTCCTCCTACTCGTCCTTCCCCTCTCCTCTTACTCGTCCTCCTCCCCCTCCTCATCTTCCTCTCGCCTCTTTCTCCTCCTCCTCCTCCTCCTCCTCGTCCTGCTCCTTCTTCTCCTTCTCTTCCTCCTCGTCCTCCTCCTCCTCCTCCTCTTCTGGGCGGGCGCCCGACCCTCGACCTCCGAGGCCCGCGATATACATATATATATATATATATATATGTATATATACATATATATATATATGTATATATATATATATAGATATATTCATATATACATATATGGGAGATCCCGGGCCCCGGGCCCCGGGCCGGAACCCCCCTTGTATATAGGGTGCGGCCCTCTCCCGGGACGCCCTTCCGGCGGCCCCCGCGCGTTCCAGCCCGCCCAAGAGGGCTCCAGGAGCGCCGAGAGAACCCCAGGATCGCTTCAAGACCGCCAAAGATCGCTTCCAGAAGGGTCAAGAGGCGCTCAAACCGCCCCAAGAGGCCTTCAAGAGGCCCCCCACGAGCGCCCCGGGAGACCAAAATAGCCCCATTCCCTTTGTAAAACGTGCATTTCTACGATATCAGCTCCCTTAGCTGTCGGAGCGGCCAGAAAGCCCCACGAGGCGCCCAAGGACGCTCCAGGACGACTGAGGACAGCCCCAAGACGGCCCAGCAGGGCCTCCCGGGACGCTCCTCCGGCGGCTCCCGGGCTGCCCAGTCCGCCCAAGAAGGCTCCAAGAGCGCCGAGAGAACCCCAGGATCGCTTCAAGACCGCAAAAGATCGCTTCCAGAAGGGCCAAGAGGCCATCAAACCGCCCCAAGAGGCCTCCAAGAGGCCCCCCAAAAGCGCCCCGGGAAACCAAAATGGCCACATTCCCTTCGTAAAACGTGCATTTTTAGGATATCTCATCTCTTGGCTGTCCGAGTTGTCAGACAGCCCCAGGAGGCGCCCAAGGACGCCCCAGGACGCCTGAGGACAGCGCTAAGAGGGCCTAGGAGGGCTTCCTGGGACGCTCCTCGGGCGGCCCCAGGGCCTCCCAGTCCGCCCAGGATGGCCCAAGAGACTTCTTGGAGCTCCCTCGTTCTCCACCGCCCTCCTTCCCAAGACGCTCCAAGACGGCTCCAGAGGCTTCCAAGAGGCGCCCCAAGAGGCCTCGAGGAGGCGCCCCAAGAGGGCTCCAAGAGGCAAACATCATTGATTTTCAATATGAAAGTGTATATTTTTAGCAGATGTATGTTTCGGCCTTCACGGCGTTGAAGACGGTCGAAAAGACCCCCACGACCGCCCCAAGACGGCCCAAGAGGTTCCCAAGAGGCGCCCAAGACGGCCCGAGAGGGCGCCAAGACGGCCAAAGAGGCCCCCAAAACGGCCCGAGAGGGCCCCAAGACAACCCCAAGAAGGCCCCAGGATGCCCCAAGAGGCCCCCAAGAGGCCCCCAAGAGGCTTCCAAGAGGTGCCTAAGAGGCCCCAAAGAGGCCCCAAGAGGCAAGGCGGCAGAGAGTCGGCGAAGGCAGTTTCCATACCATGCCCGGCCCGGCGCATTGGAGGGGGATGGGGAGGACGAGGAGGGGGAGGGGGGGGACGGGGATGAGGAGGAGAAGGAGGAGAAGGAGGAGGAGGAGGGGGAGGAGGAGGAGGAGGAGGGGGAGAAGGAGGAGGAGGAGGAGGAGGAGGAGGAGGAGGAGGAGGAGGAGGAGGAGTGGGAGGAGGAGGGCGATGAGGAGGAGGAGGAGGAGGAGGAGGAGGAGGAGGAGGAGGAGGAGGAGTTTGAGCAAGTGGAAGAAGGAAGGATTCAGAAGGAAGGAGGAAACGGTGGAGCGGGGATGAGCCTCTTCATTTGAGATGTTGAGGCGTTCGGGTTCGATTTCTGGGCTCGGGTCTTCGGTCTCAAGGTTCGGGTCTAAGGGTGAGGGTGTCATGGAAAGATTGTTCGGGTTTGAGTGCTCTCGTGGATCTTCTTGGGAGCCTCATGGGCCCTCTTGGGGCCATTTTGGGCCGTCTTGAGGCCGTCTTGGGCTGTCTTGGGGCCATCGTCGGCCATCTTGAGGCCCTCTTGGAGTCCCAAGAGGCCCAAGAGGCCGAAATTGTTGATTTTCCATAGGTCTTTCTATGTTTTGAGGCCCAGAATGAGGCCCTCCAGATTTGGTCCGACGATGTGGCGCGGCTCCAGGGGGGGGGGGCCTAATATTGCAGAACAATACAATATGTAGCATATGTAACAAGTATGCAATCGTTGGATACACTGGACACGTTGCATTAAAGCATCCGCGGACCTGCCTCTGGCAACACGTCATTTTCGGACGTAGATTTTCCGCGAATCGCCACGGAATCGGACCCGTGCTTGCGAACACCGTTTTCGGAGCAAATTAGAACCTAAGCGCGCGCGAAGCGCGCGCGTGGTTCTAGTATATATATATATATATGAATATATTCCTCCTCCTCCTCCTCCCCCTTCTCCTCCTCGGCTCCCCCTTCTCCTCCTCCTCCTTCTTCTCCTCTCCCTCCTCCTCCTCCTCCTCCTCCTCCTTCTCCTCCTCCTTCTCCTCCTCCTCCTCCTCCTCCTACTACTCTTCCTTCTCCTCCTCCCCATCATCCTCCTCTCCTCCTCCTTTTCATCCTGCCTCCTCCTTCCTCCTCCTCATCGTCTCCTCCTCGTCTCCTCCTCGTCTCCTCCTCGTCTCCTCCTCGTCTCCTCCTCGTCTCCTCCTCCTCCTCCTGCTTCTCCTCCTCCTCCTCTTCCTCCTTCTCCTCCTCCTCCTCCTCCTCCTCCTCCTCCTCCTCCTCCGCATGCACCTGCTCCGGCTCCTCCTCTTCCTCCTCCTCCTCCTCCTCCTCCTCCTCCTCCTCCTCCTGGTCCTTCTCCGGTGTTGCGTATTTCACTGGGCGCGTTCCTTCTCTCGCAGAGTGCCCTTTCGCAAACTCATGAGACACATGTTCGCCTCGAGTATAATGGATCGGAGTTCCCCGCGTCGGATCCAGGCCATTTGCGAGTAGTTACTTTGCGAGTACTGGAGCGCGCTTGTCTAGTAATGGGGGGCGACTAACTGGGGGCCCCCAAACGGGGGTGGCCAGCTGGGTGGAGGCTCCCTCGTTGCGTAATAGGGGGTGATCGATGGAGGCCAGAGGAGGGCAAGGCACCGATGCCACTACCTTGGCCTCGTTTTCGCTTCTCAGGGCTTCCTGCGAGGCCCTCCTCGCCACCGCTGGATTCGCCTTGGCATTTCGGTCAGAGCGCACCCCGTGGCAGGCTTTGAGAGAAAATCGGGGGTCCCCAAACGGGGCGGTGACTACGCCGTGTGGTGAGTCGGTGGGGATTCGGGTTCACCATACGGTTTTGGGACTTAGATCGTTCTTTGAGGATGTCTCGGACGACTGGGGCCTCCAGGGTCTCAAAACCGTGCGGTGACGGGCCGTGCGGTGAGGTCCTTCGGGATTGTGAGGTCACCGCAGTCACCACACGGTTTTGGGACCCCAAATAGAAGGTGGGATGAAGACAGGTACACTTTTCGTGCACCCCGGGGGCCCTCACGGGGCCCTTTGGGGCCAAAACAGGACGCGACAGGTGCACGTTGCTTGGCCCTCCCCCCCCGCTGTCGCCCTCCCATCGAGCAGCGCCCAATAGGCACTGTCGGCCAAGATAGACGGCCAGGCGCCCGCCGATGCGGCAGCAGGGGCCGCCGCGGCGAGCCCGGCGGGAGCCCGCGCCAGCGCCGCCGCGTCCGCGCGGGAGGCGCTAAAGGCCGCGAAGCTGGCGGCGTCGCAGGCGCTCGCGGAGTTCTCCGCCAACGGCCTCGCGGCCGCCGCCGCCGCGACGACGACCGGCGACGGGGCCGCCGGGGCCGCGGGGGCCGCGAAGGCGCCGGGCGGCGGCCGCAAGCGCCGCGCGGAGGCCGCCGCGGCCGCGGCAGAGGCGGCCGCGGCGGAGGCACCCGACGCCGCCGCGGAGGCCGCCGCAGAGGCGCGCCCGGCGGGGGCCGCAAGCGCCGCGCGGAGGCCGCCGCGGCCGCGGCAGAGGCGGCCGCGGCGGAGGCACCCGACGCCGCCGCGGAGGCCGCCGCAGAGGCGCGCCCGGCGGGGGGCCGCAAGCGCCGCGCGGAGGCCGCCGCGGAGGCCGCCGCGGACGCCGCGGAGGCCCCGCCGGCGAGGCCCTGGCGCAGAGGCGCGCCCGGCCAGCGGCCGCAAGCGCCGCGCGGAGGCCGCCGCGGCCGCGGAGGCCGGCGCGGCGGCAGAGACCGCTGGCACTGCCGCGGAAGCCACCAGCGCAGAGGCGCGGCCGGCCGGCGGGGATAGAGGCTCAACGTGTGTGATGTCGACGACGACGGCGGCGGCGGCGATGGCGGCGGCGGCGGCGACGACGACCACGACGACGACCACGACGACGACGACGAGGAGAAGGAAAACGAGGATGAGGAGGAGGAGGAGGAGGAGGACATTTGAGGTCGAGGAGGAAGGGAAAGAGGAGGAGGAGGAGGTGGAGGAGGAGGAGGAGGAGCAGGAGGAGGAGGACGAGGTGGAGGGGTTGAAGAGGATGATGCAGGAGGATGGAGAATGGGGACGACGCCGACGAGAAGAATGATGATGATGATGATGATGATGATGATGATGATGATGATGATGATGATGATGATGATGATGATGATGATGATGATGATGATGATGATGATGATGATGATGGATGGGATGATGATGGTGATGATGATGATGATGATGATGATGATTATGATGATGATGATGATATGATGAGGATGAGGATGATGATGAGGATGAGGATGAGGATGAGGATGAGGATGATGATGATGATGCTGATGATGATGCTGATGATGCTGATGATGCTGATGCTGATGATGATGATGATGATGATGATGATGATGATGATGATGATGATGATGATGATGATGATGATGATGATGATGATGATGATGATGATGATGATGATGATGATGACGATGATGATGATGAAGAGAGAGGCGGATGAAGGAGGAGGCTGGTGGAGGGAGAGGGGCAGGAGGAAGAGTTCTGCCCTCCCTCCCTCCCTCCATCCTCGTCCTTGTCCCCCTCCCTCCCACCGGCACGTCTCCCCCCTCCCTTTCTCACTCCGCCATGCTCGCAACCTTCAAGGGAGGAAAAACCACCCAGACCGGACCACTGGCGTTTACTAAACGGCTTTGGGAGTTTACTAAACAGCCCTGCCCCGTTCGATTCCTTCAGTGGGGGCGTTTAGTCAACGGCTTTGCGTGTCGGGGTGGTTATTATGGGGGTGGATATGTTGCCCTCGAAACCTCCCTCCTTCCCTCGCGACGACGACCGCGACGACGACGCCGACGACGCCGACGCTGACGCCCGCGCCGACGACCGCGACCGTCGCGGCGACGCCGACACCCCTCCAGGCGAGGCCCTTCGTGGCGGCGCCGGCCGCGGCCTCGGTCGGCCGCGCACCGCGGGGGGGCGCTCCCTGGCGGCACGCTCCTGTTCTCTCTCCGCCTCCGCCTCCTCCTCTCTCGTCCTAGCGGCATCAAATGGTAGCCGAGGCCTTCATCGCACCACGAGGGTCCCTGATGCTCCACATCCGACTGTCGTGCGCAGGGAAGGTGGTCTTTCTGCACACCCACATGATACTGTTGATGCAGAAGTCCGGAAGTATGAAAAGCTGGCACGCTAGCCAGGTTCTTAACCGTGCTTGGCTTCCAGGTCAATCAGCGATGGCCCGAGCTAGCAGCCAGACGATCCGCGACGTTGCCAGCATTTTCCCGCACGTCACGGAATCCAGTATTGATCGTTTTCATCCTCGACACTTTGGTTTGCTGCGGGATGCTGGCCTTGATGTGATATCGGCATTTTTTGAAGGTTGCGAACGCCCTGGGCTCCTCCCACTGCAACTATGTTTCATCGTGATGCTGGTGCTGGCGAAGCCTGACCAGGGCCACCGCCTGATCATATTGTATTCAGGCCTATATTGTATTCTTTTCAGCGCCTTCGGCGACGTGATCTTGCCGAACTACATCGTGCCCATACACCAGGCTTTTTGGAGAGCTTGTCTGGCAGGAACGCCCTCGACCTCTCGTGGGTGCAGGCTGCGCGCAGCGAGGCAGCGATAATTGATGACAAGTGTAGCTTCCTCATGTTGATGGGTTACAGAAAATTTAATGAAGGCATCCCTTTAGACGTTCTTCGAGATCGGCTCCACTTCTACGTAATGCAGCTCCCGGTCCTCAAGATGGTATTGAACACGTGGCAAGCTCCGCGTGTCATACGGTTCGGCCTACATCACAGCGGCATGGCCCTTTTCTGCGAGGTATGGACTTCCTGCAGGCTGTGCATTTGCTGATATTGCAGTTCGAGCGTTTACGTTGTCGGAATATGACCAGTTCATCAGCCATTATATTGTGATCGATTTCGCGAGCTACACTGATGACACAGGTGTTCACGTCAGTGGCGGCGATCGTGACATCGTCCTCTGAGTTGCTGCTTGCAGGCGAGCCCCAACGACAAAGTCGCAGTCGTGGCCAGCGACAACCTCCTTGGCCAGGAAGTTGCAGGGATCATCGGCTTGTCCAGGCACAAGTCAAAAAGAGGCTGCTTCCTACCAGGGCACGGACTTTGCTGGTGGCAGGCGTCGTGTTCATCCTGGTGCTGCTAGGAAGAAGCGGACTCGGTTGAAGATGTCGAAGCAGCGCATCATCAAGGCGTCCAAGCTCCGTTCGATGCGGCAAGCTGATGATCGCCTCGGTCGGCTCTACACGACGGGCATCAAGATGGCAGTTCAGTGCGGCGTCGAGATCAATGGAGCTGACGACCAGGAGCTGTTCGGCCTTCGTCGTCAGGCCATGTTTTTCTTGGCGCTGGCGACGAGAGGCGCCGGCCTGAGCGCCGAGCCTGCGTTGCGTGGCGAGCCTGCCGTGCGCGAGGCGATGGGGCCGGCGCTCCAGTGGAGCCACCTGATATGGCAGGCAGTCGCCTTTCCCGACGAAGCGTTGCTTAGTCTGCCTGAGTTTACAGGCGTGTGGGACCAAGTTTTTTCCCGCGATATGTCTGGATCCACTTGGGCCCACGCCCGATGCCCGATAGCCAGGGTGCCTGTGTGCCTCGCCCGTGTAAGGTGGAGACCCGCTTCAGCTATTTCGCGGGTCAACCAGGATGGAATCGCGATCCAGCTCACCCAGTGCTCTCCAGCAACGCTCAGTAGAATGTTCGGCGCTGCTTTCCAGGATGCCCATGGGGAGGCTCCGGGGGAGAGGTGAGGGCGAACCTGGACGGAGTCAGAAGTTGTCTGATGTTTAAGGAATACAAAGATTGCGAATTACCAGAAGTATTTAGTTCGCGCTGCCATGCGTGCGTGCCTCTGGACGGAGCAGGTGGCACAGTATAGTTGCCGCTGCACTGCGCGCGCTGGCTCGCGCGAGCGCGGAGAGCCCGATGCTGTTCATCGCAGGCTCTTCTGTTGCGCCATCCCTGCTGCGTGCGCCGCTCGGGCAGAGTCGGAGGTCCCTGAGTCTTTCATTGAGGCCGCCAAAGGGGGCCCTTCGAGCCTGCTCCACAGCAAAGGTGTCGTCTCGATCCTCCCAGGTGATGTACCTCCTGTTCTCGAAGTTTCGGTTGCCCTAGTTTTGAATCGAGATGGTGAGCATTTCCCTGGGCTAGAGGCCGCGGAAGCCACCGCTTTCGCAGGTAACGCAGATCGATTGCACATTGCAGTTGATGGTAGCAGGACCATGCCGATTTTGTTATGTTTTTAGCGCGCTGCGTTTTCGGTGGTTCTGTTCGACCCCCGGACCGAAGCCGCCCTCTCAGTTGTGCGTGGCACCGTGCCTGGAGGTACCCCACAGACACCTGCTATGGCTGAGAACTTCTCGCTCGCGGTTGCCTGTCAGATCGCGGATCGGAGTTCGAATGCGCATGCAGATTGCATGGCAGCGACCGCCCAGGGCTTGCCCCCCCCCCCAGCATGCACTGTTGCGCGCTGGGAAGGTGCTCGCCGGAGTCTCAGCTTTCGCCAGGGCTCTTGAGAGATTTGGTCATGTTGAGTCCATCCATCAGGTGAAAACCCATCGGAGCGAAGTCGTGATATGTAACCTCCCGCCTGGGCAGCGTGCGCCAGCGCAAGGTAACCGCGCCGCTGATTTGCACGCGATGGAGGCGCATCGCCTCTACCAGGATGCGGGGCCCGAGTCGGCCATCCGACTTGAGAGCGAGGTCGCGACGGCCTCGCAGTTCGTCTAGCTTGCTGCTGCTGTGCTCCCTGCTTTCCAGTCGGGAGCGAACCTCGAGCGACCCTTTGCCCGCCGTCGGCCTGTCCAGTCGTCCACAGGCTGGCGCGATTGGGAAGAGGGGCCGCTCGGTCTGCAGTGCGAGCAGTGTTTGAGGATCGCCCACGAGGGTTAGTCCCGCGAGGCTCCGGGATGCTCTGGGGCCCCGAGTTCGTTCGTCAGGTTGTCCGCCGTTCCCTGGGGCACCTGATTGTGGATGTGGCCTCCCGCGAGATCCATCCCAGAGCTCCAGAGCCCTCGGAGTCAACGTACAATCGTTTGCAGTTTTGCGTGTTCGCTGCGGGTGCAGGGCCCAGCTGTGCCCGCGTAGCTTTGACAAAGGCCTGCTTGAGGCCAACGAGGAAAGGCCGCTAGGTTTTGAAGACGCACCGCCAGGGACCCGGCCCCAGCAACCGAGTCCGCCAGTACATTGATCGAGCTGCTGCGGTATCAGCGTTGTCTGTGGTCCCGAAGCCGCGGTGTAAGACCCTCACTCGCACCACTGTGCCGACTGCCCACTCGAGCGCCCCTGCTGTCCCTGAGTGCGAGAGACGGCTTGCCGCCCTCGCGGGGCGAGTGCGCACTAAGGAGGTGCTCGAGGCAAAAGAGTTATTCCTGGTCGTGGCACCCCGCCGCGGGCCCTGGTCAGAGGTTGGTGAGCTTTGTCCCCCAGGGTAACAGATCTTTGAGGGGTGCCACCGACCTCTTTCGTCGTAGACTTGCGAGTCTCTTCACCTCGGGCCCGTCCTAACCTAACCTAATCCCCCATCCCTCCACCTCCCTTCTCCTATTCCTTCTCCCCCCTTCGCCCTCCTCCTCCTCCCCTTCCTCCTCCCCCTCCCTTCTTCCCCGTCCTTCTCTTCCTCTCTCCTTCACCCTTCTCCTCCCTCCTGCTCCCCCTCCTCCTCCTTCTCCTCCTCATCCTCCTCCTGCCCGCCTTCTCGTTTCCCCCCTCCCTCCGCGTTCCCTTTTCGGTATCCTCCCCCTCCTTCATCGTCCTCCTTCTCATCGTCGACGCCGCTGCCGTCGTCGTCGTC